CGAATTGTCTGCTGATATTTCCAAGAATATGTTTCATCGTCGAACAAATAAATCTCGAATGACCGAATACTTGACCTATGACATCTTCGCAATATATTGCGCGGGGTTCTGTTACATTATATAGGGTCGGAGGCGGTTCAATAATTTGTCGAATTCAATAGAACTATTTCGAACTTCCAATTAATAAATTATATCAAATATCTAGATACATTTGTAAAACTTTTTAAACTAGTTGGTATTGGTATTTTGCCTTGAGGCAAGTCACATGAACTTCGCGATATGTGTAAATAATCGACTTAATCAATAAAAAAATCAATTAATTTTTGAGTGATTAAAAGTATTCCGAGTGGATTTATTACACATATTTGAAAACGAACGAACACGTTAACTCGGAGTATTTTCTAAAAGCAAATTTTCAAAAATCAATAATTTTTATAATTGAACCAGTTTCCGTTGGACTTTAATAGTTTAGTATGTTCATTAAGATTAAATACTCTATTGTTATACCAAGTAAATCGTCTAATTTTAATTTTAACAAACGTCAAAAAAACTACTCATTTTCTCAAACTTTGATGAATTTTTAAAATTAAACAATTTGTCGTAAAGCCGTAATATTTCAGTAAGTTCTATAAGACCATGATATATACCGTCAAAAAAAATTCCATAAAAATCGGCTTAATTTTTTTTTCAACAGTTAATTACAAAAAAACGGCTCTGTAGATTTTCAACTGAAACTAATCAGTATCATTTCCAACCAATATCTTTCGAACAGTTTTTGATTTTTTTAAACCGATTAGGTAGCATGAGCTTAAATGTGGACGTAAAGTTTAACACTTTTTTCCAAATTACAGAGAAACGGCTTGACAGATCGTCGCTGAAAAATGATAAACGCTAGTTTCATCGAGATACATCGAATGGCTTTTAAATTTTTGAAATCGTTCCAGCCGCTTTTGAGAAAACGTCGATTTACGGCCAAAAATCTGTTCACATACACACACATACCTTTTCCAATTTGGTCTCATTCGATTCAGAATGGCTTGAAACGTCGAGAAAACATAAAATTAGCGAATCGGATTTTTTCATGAAAACATAAACTTCTCTTTCGGAAAGTTAATAATTCAATAAATAAAAGCAATTGCAAATATACATATCTATGTCTTGTCTAGTGTTTGAAGGTATATTATTATGAGATAATTTTTCATGAAAAATCAACCAAACGATTCCTGTCTTTCCTTTGTTTTACATAAGTTTTGAATATATTTAAGTTCCCAATCCAAACTTATACTCCGCACACTGAAAATTCAAAAAGCTATCAGTAAAAGCTCAGGGGCTTCAAAGGGTTTGATTAATAAAAAAGACCATGAGGTTTGGTCAAACTTTGGAACGGAAAACCCCAAAATCTTCCTCAATAAACTTGAATCAATTTACTCTTTTATAGCATTTCTCATGGCCCTAGAGACCAGTTAACGATATTGTAGGTTAGAAAACGTCTTATTGGCGCTGAAAATCTTCAAAAAAAGTCTCTGTTCGTTTCTATTATGACAAATTTTTTTTGGAAAGAAATGAAATATAAATTGGCAAATCGTGTTTTTATCAAAGCTCGCTCTTATCGTTCAATTTATATCGTAGGAGAGGGCTAAATCAAATATCAGTCAACGGTGATGATAAAAGGAGATACGGGAAAATGTGTCTGAGCTTTTATGATGCAATAATATATCACATGAATATATGGTAATTTCGAATTTTGTGATGGCTATGATAAATTTAGATATATAAGCGTTTTAGAATTCTCTTTATTGCACGAATTTAAATATATCTGGAAAATGACAGGATTTTATACATTTTTCACAACTGTTTATTGGGGAATAAACTGTGTGGTGAAAACTAAAGACAAGAAATTGTAAATCTTATATAGATGCATACATCATTTATATATAAATATAGGGTGGTCCTTAACATGGATATTTCCGATTTGTTTTTGCTCCCAGGGGTTTTAATGCTGCAAAATTGATAAAAAAAAATCTCTGAAAGTATTAGATCTTAATATTAACTCTAAGATAGTCCCCACTCCAGCCAAAGTTTCATATGGAAATAACATGAGTAAAATTCCATTTATTTTTAAAATTTTATAATTCTAACAAATTTTTGAGATTAATATTAAATTTGTTTATTTTGATCATAAATAAAAAATTACAACAAAAATTTGATATATTTCATAAAATAAGTATTTACTTAGGAAGAAGAATTGAGAAACTATGGTTGAAGTGCGAACTATCTTAAAGTTAAATTAAGAGCTAATATTTCAGAAAATTTTTTTTCAACTATTTGGAAGCATTTGAACCTCTGGGAGCAAGGAAATTCAAAAATATCCATATTAAGGGCCACCCTAATATATATAATATTTATTTTCTGGCATAGCTTACTAGCTCTTTGGTAATAATAAATCTGGCATTACATTTTTATTATTCCAACAATTTCATTATTCAAACATTTACATTATTCCAACATTTAACATAGGTATGTCAGCATTTGAATTAATTTTTATTAACTAAATTTAAATTTCTAGAATGATCAACTATCAACAATTTATTTTTTCATCTATATTTAATGTTTTAATCCCTGGCATATCTTAGTTGCTTTTTGTCAATAATAATTTCTAAATTACATTTATCTTTTCCATAATTTAGCATAGATCATATATTCAAATTTTAAGTAAATTGACATTTTTACAATCTTTACCCCACCTGTCAAACAATAATGTTGTTTTTTTCATAATTTTTTCCCTTATTTTCTACATTATTACTATATTATTGTAGTTCATTACCACTATCTTATATTCGTTGACAAAATGCAAAATGATTTATCAAAATTTGATTAGCCGTTTAGGATTTATTGAGTGACTATACGCGCCCAGAAGATTTATATATATGATATGTGTAAATTTTTAAATTTATATAAATGAGATGTATAAATGTCTAAATTTAAAGTTCTAATTTTTTTATTTCAAGAATATAAAAAAATTGTAGAAATAACAAAATTTACATGTTACATGTTAGTAGACCATATTACTAAATTTTTGAGCTTGAACTAATGAGTAACGGACATTATTGGTCTAAATATGTGTCTAAAATACTAGAATATTTTAATAATTAATTTGGAAATAAATCGGTTATCAAATACATTTTGTATAACAATCTGTAAAAATGTCAAGAAAAAGTTAAATTTTACTTTTATTTAGAAATTACTTTTTTATTATATGAGTGTGTGAATAGATTCAATTTAGATATTATTATTGGCACGAATCATATGTATTTGAAAATTGACCTAATGGGCTTATTAAAAATACATATTTAAGCTCAGATACTGGATATGAAAAGAAATATATAAGTAAAATATGTACAAAGAATATAAAATTTAAGAAACTTTTCTGATCCCGAAAACATATTTACAGATTTAGCCACATCACATATAGAATACTTACATGAATTAATGTTAAACCATAAAGTTTCATAACCGAAATCAATAAATATTTCAATGATCTCCAATAATAATTTTTCTAAATATTTCCCATCGTCTTGAAGTACACCATTGACGTGTTCCAATACTTTATGTTACGATATAATTCGAGGCAGTAATAAATTATTGAGTTAATTTTGTTTGGTACATCACACAAGATTTATTAAATTGATTACTCATTTTATTAACGTCAAAATAAGTCGTCAATATTTATGTAACTATTGATTTAAAAATATATTGGTCTATATATAGAATCAAGTACGTCATTGTTATTTTGATATTTGTGCCCTGAAAGAAAGTTCAATACAGTGAAAGAATTATTTTTTAATTTTTTTATATTTATTTGAAATTTGAAATGTACTATGTTATTATGTACCATGCACATTGAAATAGTAAAAGTTGAAGCAAAATCATATATCGTGTGATAAAACGAATGGAATAATTTTAAATTGCGTCTTCTCAAATGAATTGTGCTTTGGCGTCATTTGCTTCCGTGACTTGTCAAAATTTTAACTAACTAATAATAATTACTTTAAAATAATTATTAAATACAATTCTGATTAATTATTTGAAAATAGCAAAATATTTTATGTGCAAAATTTATTTCTTGTGATATTTTTATATTTTTGCGATATAATGCGAAGGAATTTTCACTGATTTTTTGTTTAAAATCGAGAAAAAGATAGTAAATGCATTAAAATTAATATTTGGACATCTATATAAGTAGGAGGAGAAAAAATATACATTGTTAGGGGTATGCACCTATTCGTAATATTGATAAATAAATATTATTATAAATGTAACAACATATATTTCTATAGATGTGAAAACTCATTCTTGAATATATATTGTGACCCTATATTTAACTTTCTATAGGGTAAGTTATAGCAATCGCCAAAAAATCGAACAAGAAATTTTTTATATATCTATGGCGGAATGAACACCATATGAAGTTGAAGGACGTCAATTGATGACAATGGCGGAATGAACACCATATGACAGATGTCAGTTGAATAACGTCAATTGATGACAAAACTAAATTATATTGGGCTACGTTGATTCGGATCTGGCATCAAGCAAGCTATAACGATCTGATTGTTTTTATACGATCGAATATTATTTTCGCGCTTTTTAAAACGATCGAAAATATTGTATCGAGTTTTTTGCCAACGAGCGTTTTCTCGTGAACGAAATTTAGATTTGATTTAATGTAATATCAACATCTTTATCAATTGAGACATTAATAAACAGTCATTATCGAGTTGAAATAAAATTATTGCGATTTCATTCAAGAATTAATTAATTAATAATATATGGCCCACCAGCGCCATAATTGGTGACTCCGAACGTGTAAGTGAAATCATTAAGCAAGAGACATTCTCAACGTCTTAGTACCCATAATTGGTGACGTCAGACGGAGAAAGAAAAACACTTGTCAAATACAAGTAAATTAATAAAGGTAAATTATACCAATTTTTATCAACATGTCGACTCGATCTACGTCCGTCAATGACGAAACAGCGCTCAACAGATCTCTGATCGATCTGGATCACGAGGCGATCTTTAACACGAGCAGTCCTCGTGTTTCTGAACATGAACATGACAGTTATGCTGATCAATACAATATAGCAGCATTTAACAATCACCGTCTCACTCCATTCAATGGAGATTCTCCAGACCTATGGTTTTTAGTTATTGAACATGAGTTTCAGTCTGCTAGGATCAGGAGTGACAATACTAAGTACACAGCAGTACTCAAAGCCCTAGACTTCGAGACACTGCGCCTCATCCAGGATGTCCTCCGTAATCCACCAATGACAGGCAAATACGAATATATCAAAAACACTATATTAAGCAGAATGTCTGAATCTAGAGGTAAGCAAATTGACAAGCTATTAAAAAACTTAACTCTAGGAGAGAAGAAACCATCACAGCTCCTACGAGAAATGATGAATTTGGCTAAGGGAGAGGTCAGTGAAGACATCATAATTAAATTGTGGTCAGAACGCCTGCCACACCATATTCGGCCACAATTAATAGTTTCTCGCCATCTTGGTCCGGAAGCCCTGGCGGAAGTTGCCGATATTTTAGTCGATCACTGTAGCCCCACATCACATGTGATGTCCACAACACACAAGTCTTCAGTAGAACAGAGACTGGACCGCCACGAAACTCTTCTTATGTCATGCGTCCAGGAAATCAAGGAACTAAAGGCAATGTTGAACACTGAAAGACAGAGAAATGATCAGCAAGAATCACAACTCAACCAGTCAAGATCAAGAAGTGAACAACTCAATCAGTCAAGTTCTAGAAGTGGTTCTCGACATAGGTCCAGGACACCTTCACGTGGATCGGTTTGCTACTATCATTACAGATATGGGGAGAAGGCCACAAAGTGTGAAGAGCCCTGCCTCCTTAAATCTCTAAACCAGTCAAAAAACTTACTTCACCGTCATTAAGTGGAGCTTGCCATGACGGTGAAGTAAATTCTGTCTGCTCTGAGCTCCGTCTTCATATATCAGACAGAAAGACGGCAATCCAATTTCTTATAGATTCAGGATCAGTTATATCCATTTTACCAGCTCAGAAGTTTGCCGATGGTCATCCTAAGGAAGAGTTAGTTCTATTTGCAGCAAACTCTAGCAGAATATCCACGTATGGAAAGAGAACTCTGGAGCTGGATTTATCTTTACGCAGAAGCTTTAGCTGGCAGTTTGTTGTTGCCGATGTAGCCACAGCCATAATAGGAGCTGATTTCCTAAGCAACTACAATTTATTAATAGACTTGAAGGGTAGAAGATTGATTGATTCGACTACAGGCCTTACCTCTGATGGAAAGGTACTCAAGGCACAGCAAGTTAACATCTCCACTGTCAACCCGGCAGAGCCCTTCAAGGATTTACTGGCACAATACATCGCAATAACAAAGCCACAGGTAACCACCAATAATAAATCATCTCTTTTTGCCCACAGGATAACCACAACAGGTCCACCATTAGCTTCCAGATTCAGGAAGATCTTCGGAGAAAAGGCTGTTGCAGCCAGGTCCGAGATACAAGATCTCCTGAATAGGGGCATTTTGAGGCCTTCCAACAGTCCATGGGCAAGCCCTATTCACATGGTTCCCAAAAAGAATGGCACATTCAGAATGTGTGGAGACTACAGGAGGCTGAACGCAAACACGCTGCCCGACAGGTATCCTCCACCATTAATACAAGATGTATTCAATAATCTTCATCAAAAAGAAGTATTTTCTACAATAGATTTAGAAAAAGCTTACCACCAAGTACCCATGCATGAAGAGGATATACAAAAGACTGCAATTATCACACCATGGGGACTCTTCGAGTATCTACGTATGCCATTTGGACTCAAAAACGCTGCCCAGACATTCCAGAGGTTTATCAATCACATATTCCAAGATTTTAATTTTGTTTTCATTTATATAGACGACATCCTGGTAATGTCGACTGATATGAATGAGCACCGTCGTCATCTTCAATTGGTTTTTGAGAGGCTACAGGAATATTCTCTTACAATAAACTTAGAGAAATGTGCCTTTGGAAAAGATGAAGTTAACTTCCTCGGTTACAAACTGAGTGCTGCAGGATATTCTCCTTCACCAGACCGAGTAGAGAAAATTATTAATTATCCAAAACCTTCGACAGTTATAGAACTCAGAAGATTTTTGGGAATGGTAAACTATTATCGTAAATCAATACCCAAGGCAGCAAATATACAAGCACCACTTTATGAGTATGTGAAGTCCTCAGTTAAAAACGACAAGACTCAAATTGAATGGAATGACAATTCATTATCAGCATTCAGCAAGCTGAAGGAAGCTCTAGCAAATGCAACTCTTCTTCATTTTCCTTCAAGTATAGCAAATATTAATTTAATTACAGATGCATCCACAACAGCCATTGGAGCAACTCTGGAGCAGGAAGAAAATGGTGCATGGCACCCTATAGGTTTCTTTTCCAGAAAGCTCACAGCTACTGAACAGCGATATTCAACTTACGATCGCGAAGCTACTAGCCATCTTTGCGGCTTTAAAGTATTTTGAATATCTATTAGAAGGAAGGCACTTTATAATCAAGACAGACCACAAGCCAATCACACACGCATTTCAACAAAAACTGGAGAAAGCATCAGATCGTCAGCGACGGCAGCTAGAATACATATCACAGTTTTCCACTGATATTATATATGTGAAGGGTGATCAGAACGTTGTTGCTGATGCGTTGTCCAGGATCAATGCCATTCAAATGCCATCAAAGCTAACCGAAGAGGAAATTTCGCAAGAACAGAGTAAGGACGTTGAAATGCAAACTATATTGAACGGCAACACCTCTATTAATCTTCAAAAATTGACATTAGGGGGGTATCCAGTTTATTGCAACAGGCAAGATAATTGTGTGAAGCCCTACCTTCCACAAAGTCTTCGCAGAATTGCTTTTGACATTGTACATGGAAATGCACACCCAAGCATAAGGATTACTTCAAGGGAGTTGCGAAGAAGGTATGTGTGGCCTGGGATTGGTAAAGACGTCACCATGTGGGCACGTCAATGCATTCCTTGCCAAAAATCCAAAATTCATAAACATAATCACCTCACTCCTATCCATATTCCTATTCCTGAAAACAGATTTTCGCATATTCACATTGACATAATCAAATTACCGAATATTAATGGATATCCTTATTGCCTAACAATCATCGACAGATTTACAAGGTGGCCAGAAGCTGTTCCTCTAAAGGACATTTCTGCAGACACGATTGTCCAAGCCCTATTTTCAAACTGGATATCAAGATTTGGTACACCATGTGTGATAACATCCGACCAAGGATGCCAGTTTGAATCAGCTATATTCAAATCATTAATGAATGCAATAGGTGCTAAGAAAATACGGACAACGGCATATCACCCTCAGTCCAATGGCCTAGTTGAACGCTGGCATAGAACTCTGAAAGCAGCTTTAATGTGCTCTCCTGAGCCTTGGATCGAAGTATTACCTGTAGTCTTACTAGGTTTACGTTCTTCATACAAAGAAGACCTTAAAGCATCTCCTGCTGAGATGGTTTATGGAACCACATTAAGACTACCAGGCGAATTTTTCACAACTAAAGAACTGTCATCCGATCCACAAGCATTTCTGGACTACCACAGAAGAATAATGCGGGATATTAAACCTACAGCCACAGCTCATCATAATAAAGCCAATATGTTTGTGCTTAAGGACATAAATACATGCACTCATGTATTTGTAAGATCTGATCATATTAGAAAACCACTTGAGCCTCCATATAGTGGACCATATGAAATTATAGAAAGAATTTCAGACAAAGTGTTCAAAATTTCTATGGATGGTACTGATAAGAACATATCGGTTGACAGACTAAAACCAGCATACACAGTTAAAATAGATAACAGTCAACCAAGCTCATCTCAAGAATTTAAATCACATAACTTGGAGTTATCGATTGACCCTCCAAAAAAGATGAAGCCTAAAAAAGTCTCCTTCAAATTTTAATAATCAAATTCATTTATTTTTACCGGATACCTCTTTTTCTTTTGAAGGGGAGTTATATGGCGGAATGAACACCATATGAAGTTGAAGGACGTCAATTGATGACAATGGCGGAATGAACACCATATGACAGATGTCAGTTGAATAACGTCAATTGATGACAAAACTAAATTATATTGGGCTACGTTGATTCGGATCTGGCATCAAGCAAGCTATAACGATCTGATTGTTTTTATACGATCGAATATTATTTTCGCGCTTTTTAAAACGATCGAAAATATTGTATCGAGTTTTTTGCCAACGAGCGTTTTCTCGTGAACGAAATTTAGATTTGATTTAATGTAATATCAACATCTTTATCAATTGAGACATTAATAAACAGTCATTATCGAGTTGAAATAAAATTATTGCGATTTCATTCAAGAATTAATTAATTAATAATATATGGCCCACTAGCGCCATATATCTTTACGTTTCAAAGGTTTCTGAACATTTTGGCATACCTTACAATAAGAAAAAATTGATGTATGTGTGTGTGTGTGCGGATACAAATTTTCGTCGACGATTTCAGGAACACGAGTCAACCGATTTGAATAATTTAAAAAAAATCGATTCGTATTGATAAGGAGACGTGCTGATTAATTTTTGGTAAAGGCAGGTCAAGCCGTTTCGAAGATACGGAGCAAAAAGTGCCAAAAATAGTAATTGATTTTTGAAAGAACGGAGTGTCTGATTAGTATGATTCAAAAATTTATTTATTTGTATAACGAAATGAAGAACTGATGAAATTTTTGGAAAGGCACGCCCAAAATCGGCGTCGTTTCGGCGATCCAATAAAAAAAATGAAAATAAATGCCATTTTGCCGACAAAAATGATCATAAGACATTTGCACATCAAATTATCACACATTTTATAGATATTTCAATAATAATAACAGATTTTGTTCACTGTTCTATGGGTTCCGTACCAATGTTTATACGTTATACTGCGGCGCGGCTCCCACGCGCTTTGATATTTGGTTTTTACGCAGCTAACGTATCGCGATTGCTTTGAAAAAAAAAGTTCAAAATATCTTAAAGTATAAAAAAATTAAATCTTTCTAAAAGCTCAATTATTTGCAAAAATTTTAAAAATCTCAAAATAGGTTATTTTTTAGGGTTCTAAAAGAAATTTTTGGTACGGGAAGTACCAGCAATTTGCCTTAAGGCACGATGCCCTGCACCACTAGTCTATACTATCTTTACATATGTTCTATACTATCTTTATATTTATTCTATATTATCTTTGATATATGTATATTCTATACTATCATCTGTTTAAATATATATCTTATTCTATCCATTTTTCTTTTTTGCTCCTTAAAACTAATTCTTCTTCAACCATCATTCTTCTTTTTTTCTGAAAATGTGCTTTTCTTAAATTCTAATCTTGGTTTTCTTCTTATGTACTTCTAACTTTATTCAAATTTATCTCAAAAATTTAAATTCTATTTAATTTCAAAATAATTTTTAAATTCTACTTTTTACTTCTATTTCTATGCAATTTCAAATCAGCAGTTCAAATTCTATTCAATTTTTATGTAATTTCCAAAAATCGATTCCAGGATCGCCGGCGTTTGAGTCGGGCACGCTACTGACTGAGCCTTTCAATTTTGACAAATACTAAAAAAATGTATTATTATTACTTATTACCATAAATAACATATTTATCCATTCACTGATTAAGAAAGAATTCAAGTTCGTCATTGTTTTGAATTTAATGTCATCACAAGAATCGTAGTTATCTATTTACACATTAATTTAATAACACCATCATTGACGCTAATGAACAAATTTGTTTATAAATATACATCGGTTATCAATAATACCTACACATTTGAAATAAGTCTCAATGAATAATATTTTGTAAACAAATTCATTGCTGGTTGTTATATTTATTGATTATTGCTGTGATAAAGTGGAATAATTGAAAACTATCTTTTGGTGAATTGATTGATTGATTTTTGTAATTGGGTTTGTAGTACTAACTTATAACTTATTCTGTGTTATATTATATTATATTATATATATTATAATTAACAATTTTGATATTGGAGACGAAAAGGTTACCATCGATAAAATTAGATGCGTTAAATTATTAATTGGTTCTTACATAATCACTAATTGGCAAGATTACCATTAGTTACCAATTTACTATTAATTTTGAAATGTTACCATCAATAAAATTGGATGCACTAAATTATCAATTGGTTCTTGCATAATCACTAATTGGCAGGATTACCATTAGTTACCAATTTACTATTAATTTTATTATATTACATAGTACAGTTGGTCTGCTAGTTAAACATGCACTAAAGTTTCTATTTCTCCAATCCATAAATTCAATCCATTTATCAATCATTTAAAATAATAGTGCGAATAAAAATGTCACATAATTCTTGTCGTGAAATTAAATTTTATAGGAATGCAGTAATATTGATATTTTTTTGCATATATGGTTTTACTTTGCATTTTTCTCTCGTAAATAATAGATATATCATTTAAACGTTCATTTTCAGAATAAAACCGTAAGCGGTGAATAATAAAAGTCCTTTAAATTTATATCAGTTTCGTTCCGAATGGAATTTTATACGATTTCCGTTTATTGCATATAAAATATTTTATTCGAACTATTATTCTGAATTTAATTTAATGACAGCTGTACTGTCGGATATAGTTTCAACTGAAACTTCTTCACTTCAAAAATTTCTACTCAAAAAATTGGATCATGAAATAAAAAAAAATTTGAGAATATGAACTCAAAATTTAGAAATCTCAATATGATACAAAAAATATTAATAAAAAAATGGCTATTACAAAATCGGGGTTCGTAGCAGGAGGGTAAAAATTTAGGGCTTTAGTTGATTGAGGAGAATGAATTATATTTAGAAACACTGTTTAGATAAAACGTTCTGAGAAAATTTAAACAAGACAATTTATTTTTTTATCAAAATAACGGATCTTCAGTGTCTTCAATAATAATAATAATTAACTTTCCGTAGGGCAATAGTAATCGCAAAAAAATCGAAAATGAAAATTTTTATATATCTTTACGTTTCAAAACCTTCTGAACATTTTGGCATACCTTAGAAAAAATTTATGTACGTGTGAGTGTGTGTGCGTGTGTGTATGTATGTACGGATACAAATTTTCGTCGACGATTTCGGGAACACGGATGAAGCGATTTGAATAATTCAAAAAACATTCGATTCGTATTGATAAGGAGACGTGCTGATTAGTTTTTGGCGAAGGCAGGTCTAGCCGTTCCGAAGACACGGGGCAAAAAGTGCCAAAAACTTTAATTCCGTTTTTTAGAGAACGGATCGTCCGATTTGAATAATTCAAAAAACATTTTATTTGTATTGAATGCGTGAAGAACTGTGGAAGAACTGTGGAAAAGTGAAGAACTTTGGCAAGGCAGGTGCAACGACTTCGGAGATATGGAGGAAAAAGTAAAAAAATGAGCCATTTGGCGGTCAAAAATAAACATTAGGCATTTGCACATCAAATAATTAGATATTTTATAGAGATTTTAACAATAAGTATGAATTTTGTGTACATTCCTATGGGTTCCGTACCAATGTTTACGCGTTAGACGGCGACGCGGCGCTTGCGCGCTTTGATATTTCGTCTTTATGCAGTTAAAGCAGTACGATTGCTTTGAAAAAAAAAGTTCAGAATTTCCAAAATATTTCAAAATAAATGATTTAAGATGATTTAATATGGTTCGAAATTCTATCAAAAGTTTCAAATCATTGATCAACTCTTATTGATTATTGTTGATTATTTTTAATTACTCGAATTTTGAATTGCGGTACGGGAAGTTCCAGCAATTTGCCTTAAGGCACGATGCCTTATTTGCCTTGAGACAGAATTTGACTTACAGCTAGTTATTTTCAATTAATTAATTAATTAATAATTTAAATAATTTAGCTAAAATTTTTTGAATCATCTCTATTGGCGTGTCTAGTTATTTTATGTGTGAATCAGTACCTCATCAAGACGCTCTATAGATTAAATATTCTACGTATTAATATATTAATATAATATACAAATAGTGCATTATTTTTCCGTCTATTAATAGATCCATATTGTAAATTATTTTCCACTATTTATTTACTTAATTATTCATTGCATCTCGTCTATTACGGTGTGTCAAACGCTTTGACGCAGTCCCTAGAAAGTGTTATTGATGCCTCTAATTGAAAATAAATACGACTCATTATCGAACACTTAAATTATTTGTTTTTCTCATTGTCGAGAAATCTTATTAACATATTTATACATTTAGTTGTGTAGAATTTCAATTCAAATGCGTCACAAAATATGTGTGCGTGACACGGACAAATTTTCCCAAGTTTTTATCTTTATAACCTATTTGTATTCGGTATTTTGGCGGTGGAAATGTAATGAAACTTTTGAAATATTTCTGTTAATGGCTATGTTATAGATTACGTTAACAATAAATGCATTCATAAGTAAAATGATAAAAAAATTACGGATGTGTGTTGTCTACATTTTCAATTTTTTATAATTTTTTAGATCAATTCTCGAAGAATAATTTTAGAAAGATAAAAAAATCTGTAGGTTCGGTCAAGATTTGCTAATAAGCCTTAAATTTGTTAATAATTTAAAAAATAATAATTTTAGAAAACGATATAGGTTTTAAGAAGTGAATAACAACTAATTAAATAGTACCTAATAATTATAATGAGCCATCATCATAATTCTTACGACGTCGCTATCAGGAGATCAATTCATAAAAAAACATATTGTTTCGTTGGTAGTTTTTTCTAGTTTTGAGCTCTACTGAACATAGTTGGATAGCTTTTTGTTTGATGCATATATTTGTTGTGATGTAGTTCGTTTAGTTTGGACAATGTAATTACTGAAAGTCGAATTGGGCCTTTCTGCCCCGCTCTATCCTATTATTCACTAATTATAAATATCTGATTCTTCACGCAAAAAGCGGTCCAGATAATTTAGAATTGTATTCATAACTATTATTGGATAACGAAGTAATAAACTGTTCTTACAAATGTCATATTACTTATTAACTTTCCGTAGGGTAAGTTATAACAATCGCAACAAAATCGAAAATGAAAATTTTTATATATCTTTACGTTTAAAGACCTTCTGAACATTTTGGCATACCTTAGTGTGTATGTGTGTGTGCGGATACAAATTTTCGTCGACGATTTCGAGAACCCGGATGAAGCGATTTGAATAATTCAAAAAACATTCGATTCGTATTGATAAGGACACGTGCTGATTAGTTTTGGGCGAAGGCAAGTCTAGCCGTTCCGAAGATATAGGGCAAAAAGTGCCAAAAACGGTAACTCAGTTTTTAAGAGAACGGAGCGTCCGATTTGAATAATTCAGAAAACATTTTACTTGTATTAACAAGATGAAGAACTGATCAAATTTTTATGAAAGCAGATAAAAATAAGTTAAAAAAAAAATGTCATTTGGCGGTCAAAAATGTTAATTGGACATATGTACATCAAATTATCAGATATTTTATAGAGATTTTAATAATGTGTACACGTTTTGTTTAATTTATTAATCATGAGGGCAGGTCTAGTGGTTTCGGAGATCTAGTAAAAAAAAGTCATTTGGCGGTCAAAATTGAACATTAGACATATGCACATCAAATTTTAAGATATTTTATAGACATTTTAACAATAAGTATAAATTTTGTTTACATTCCTATGGGTTCCGTACCAATGTTTATGCGTTAAACGGCGACGCGGCGCTTACGCGCTTAGATAATTTGTCTTTATGCAGTTAAAGCAGTACGATTGCTTTGAAAAAAGTTCAGAATTTCCAAAATATTTCAAAATAAATTTTTCTTCAAAAAGTCTTTTTTTTTCAAAAAATAGTAAATTTTGTTTCTCAAAAATATAATTTTTTCAGAGTAAATTTTTTTCAAAAATGTTAATCTTTTTTAAAAAAAATAATTTTTGGTACGGGAAGTTCCAGCAAGTTTTGCCTTCAGGCACGATGTCATGCGCCCCACTAGTTTACAACATATTTAGTATACGTGACAAATTGACAATAGCTCGATTTAATATTTAATTTCTATGACAAATTAATCAATACTATAATATTCAAACTATATAATAAGTCACACCATGACATCATACGGTAAATCTATTGTTGTTAGTTATAAAACTATTTTGGTTTAGAATTAACGACATAATTTTATTGTTCTTAATTAAGATGTAACTAGCTGTAAGTGGAATTCTGTCTTGAGGCAATTATGGCATCGTGCCTTAAGGCAAATTGCTGGAACTTCCCGTACCGTAACAAAATGTTCGAGGTATACTGAATGTTTTCAAATAGATTATTATAAATATTGTAACATTGTTTAATATTTAAAAGAATTATATAAACTGAATTGCAAAGTTGAAATTATTTGTTTAAAGTATATTAGAACTATAGTCAGAATTAAAAATAAAATCTGAATTATTTTCGATATACAAAAAATAAAAAAAAAAAAAGTTGAATCAAAATTTGTTTTCCAAAATCAATTATTTTGTTAAGACAAGCAGAAAGTTCTTTGAATCATTTAAATCGGACGCTTAGTTCTCTCAAAAACTGCCATTTTTTACATATTTAGCTCCGTATCTTTGAAATGGCTGGGCCTGCCTTTGCCAAAAACTGATAAACACTTCTCCCAATCATTACTAATTGAATGTTTTTTAGATCATTCAAATCGGATACTCCGTTCTCTCAAAAAGTCGATTTCTATTTTCTGCATTCTTTGCTCCGTATCTCCGAAACGGCTGGACCTGCCTTTGCCAAAAACTGGAAATTTGTATCCATACATACATACACACACACACATCCATTTTTTCTGAGTTATGCCAAAATGTTCAAAAACCTTCAAAACGTCGAAAAATGTAAAAATTTTCAATTCCGATTTTCGGCCCATTACTATAACTACGGGAAGTTAATAATTACTATTATTGTAATTCATTATTTGTGTTCACGTTAAAATTTTATAGTACTATTAACAACATCTTAATTTTTTTTTCAGAATCTAAACGCACAGCGTAATCATGAATCAGAGCCCTCAAGCTCAGCACCACCATTCCTCCTGTTCGTCCGTGGCGACGCCTCCGGCCTTGCTGTCGCCTCGGATCGCCGTGTCGCCGCCGAGCGATCAGCCACCGGCAAGCGCCAGTGCCGCCTTAGCCTTCCAATTCCCGCTGACGGTCGAAGACGGCGGAGGGACGAACGGCAACCACCGCACACCCGCTGGCGGTTGGCGGCGGAGGTTGTCGCGGAATAGACCGCGGAGTTCGTCGGTTAGCCGGTCTACGGATGCTTTAGTGCAGGTTAGAATCATTATAATAGAATAGAAGTTACATTATTAACTTCCTGTAGGGTAGGCTATAGTAATCGCAAAAAAATCGAAAATGAATTTCTTTATATATTTTTACGTTTCAAAGGTTTTTGAACATTTTGGGTGTGTGTATATGTAAGTGTGTGTGTGCGGATACAATTTTGTCGACGGTTTCGGAAACACGGTTCAACCGATTTCAATTATCCAAAAAACATTCGATTGCTGTTGATAAGGAGACGTGCTGATTAGTTTTTGGCATAGGCAGTTCTAACCGTTCCGAAGATATGGGACAAAAAGTGCCACAAGCAGTAACTCAGCTTTTAAAAGAACGGAGTGTCCGATTTCATTAATTCAAAAAACATTTACTTGTACTGGCAAGATGAAGAACTGATTAAATTTTTGGGAAGGCAGGTCCAGCGGTTAAGGACTCTCGATAAAAATAAGTTAAAACTAGCTGTAAGTGGAATTCTGTCTTGAGGCAATTATGGCATCGTGCCTTAAGGCAAATTGCTGGAACTTCCCGTACCGTAACGAAATGTTCGAGAAATACTGAATGTTTTCAAATAGATTATTATAAATATTGTAACATATTATAAGAATTATATAAACTGAATTGCAGAGTTGAAATTATTTGTAAAGTATATTAGAACTATAGTCAGAATTAAAAATAAAATCTGAAATATTTTCGATATACACAAAACTAAAAAACTAAAAAAAAAAAAAAAATTGAACGAAATTTTTTTCCAAAATCAATTATTTTGTTAAGACAAGCAGAAAGTTCTTTGAATCATTTAAATCGGACGCTTAGTTCTCTCAAAAACTGCCATTTTTACATATTTAGCTCCGTATCTTCAAAATGGCTGGGCCTGCCTTTGCCAAAAACTAATAAACACTTCTCCCAATCATTACTAATTGAATGTTTTTTAGTTCATTCAAATCGGATACTCCGTTCTCTCAAAAATTCGATTTCTATTTTCTGTACTCTTTCCTCCGTATCTCCGAAACGGCTGGATCTGCCTTTGCCAAAAACTAATCAGCTCTTTTCCTATCAATAGGAATCGAATGTTTTTTGAACCATTCAAATCGGTTGATCCGTGCGCCCGAAAACGTGGGCGAAAATTTGTATCCATACATACATACACACACACACACATACGCACACACACACACACACACACATCCATTTTTTCTGAAGTATGCCAAAATGTTCAGAAACCTTCAAAACGTCGAGAAATGTAAAAATTTTCAATTCCGATTTTCGGCCCATTACAATAACTTACCCTACGGGAAGTTAAAAATGTCATTTGGCGGTCAATCAAATATGTTTATTGGAAATATGCACATCAAATTATCAGATATTTTTAGATATTTTAATAATTTGTACACATTTTGTTTAAATTTTTTCGGGTTTAGTACCAAGATTTTTAATTACGGTACGGGAAGTTCCAGCAATTTGCATTGAGGCACAATACCATGCACCCCACTAGTCTTAATTTTACGAATTCTTCTTTCTCCTTCTTCTTTCTTCTCTTCTTTTTATGAATCCACCTCTTCCTATCTTCTAGAATCTAGACCCATCTTCTTTCTTCTACCAACTTCCAACACTATTACTTTTTCTTCTAATTCTGTTGAACATTTTCACATGATACTAGGATGTTCCATACTTCTTACACATTTACATTCTTTATATACTAATTACAAGTAGGTTATCATACAAATATTTGTCATTTTTTGGAAAGTGTAGGGAATCGGACATAGCACATGTTACTGCATGAATTCTTCGTTATGATGATTATTAAATCATATAATATATGAAAATTTTAATTTAGTCTGTTTAGATGTGCAATCCTTTCATAAAATCTGTTTTTTCGGGTAAATAGTAAATAAAAAAGTGAATTAAGTTATAAAGGGTAATTTTGTCTGCTGATTAATATTTCTGACAAAATACCAGATCAAAGTTATATACAGTGTTATTTCTGTTAGAAATGTACCCATAAAATTCATATTTAGCTTAGGTTAAATAACATAGGCTATTATTTCGTAAAATCCCTTTAAAGTTAAATATATGACATTGGACCTGTTTACCCTCTATGAACCCTAAGGGGCAAAAAAAAACAAGTGACAAATTTACAAAAAA